AGGTGGACTTCAGATTTAGAGACAACTTGAACAGATGGTCCCAAACCACTGACTCTCAGGGTTAGATTCTAAAACATTTTGCCAAGTAGGCATCCAGGCTCTGCTTGCACACCTCCAGTGACAGGGGAAGTCATCGTATCCTCCAGCAGCCCAATTCACTGTTGGATGGCTCTAACTTTAAAAGGTCTTTCTGGCGTTGCTTCCACTTCCTCAGCTCTGCCCTCAAGCCCACGCTGACCACATCTACTCCATTTCCCTGCAGAGGTCTGCAGACTGACAACACAAACCCGCGGGCTCTCCTCGTCTTTTAAGGTGTTAAGTCAGATGAAAGCAGCCCTACTATGTCAAGTAGGTATTCATTTAACACCTTCTTTAGTGGGAGAACATTTATGATCTTCTTGCAGTACTTCTCCCACCTCAACCCATGAGCTTCGAGGACGGTAAACTAGGCAGCTGTTTGATGAGTGAGCTTCCGCTGAAGTTGTTACCAATTTATCAGTTATCAAGCACTAAGCACCTACTCTAAGCTAGGCACTGGATACAAAGACCAAGAAAACTTGGTCCTTTGCCCACAAAGTGACAAGGCTGGGAGTAGCCCAATATCTACTCTGGTCACTTTTAGTACAGTGAGTCTCAAAGTATCGATATCAGCGTCACCTAAAACTTTATTTATAAGACACGCAAATTCTTGGACCACCATATCCCAGATGTACTGAGCCAGAACTGGGTGTGAGTCCAGCAATCTGGGTTTAGCAAGCCCTCCAAATTATTTGGATACACTTGAAAGTTGGATAGCCACTGGTTTAGATTCACCTGGGGAACCTTTAAAATTAAATAAGAATTTCTGGGGGTAGAGTCTGAAGCACTGGTTTGTTTCTGAATGCGGTTAAAATACACGTTCAGCGCACTGAATGAAGTGGCCCTGGAGCATCTCAAGGTACTACTTTGTGTTTCCAAGTCCAAGGAATGATGGAGGCAGAAGCATGTTGGGTGTTGAGGAATGGAGCTGGGAGAAAGGAGAGCTGGATGCTAGGCCTAGTTCTGCTTGTCTGGGGGGCTTTGAGGAGGACACTCCTCTCCTTTCAATACACAATAAAATGTATAGACAATTTCTTGATAATAAAATGTATTAAGAATCTACTCTGTGCCAGGTCATTAAGAGAACAGAGAACTAAAACTAAGACCTCTAAAACCTCTTTCCCAAAGACTCCATTGATCAAGAACTACAATGCATAACCACAGAGGAGAAGGCAGGCTGAAAGCATCTCACTTCATTCTTTCCCAATTCAATAGTCAGTGAAAGAGCTGAGTACACACTGTAGTCGTATAAGACTTCCAGTAGAAATGCATACTGAGCAGTTTCAGATCTATAACATGAACCAGAAACTATAAAAAGTCTTCATAAAGCAGAGATATTCTATAACACAGTAACACTGAAATAGAAGTACAGTAAGTCAAAAATCTATCAATTAGATTGAACTGTGGGCAGGTGAGATTTTCACCAAAACATTGTTTTCTGGTCCCAGTCTCTCCTTGCTTTCATTCCAAGCGTCACACCTTAAATTTTTCTATAAGTTGTGTGCTAAAAGTAGAGGAAGGCTGATGGGGTCAAAAATTCACCTCCCATCCCATCCCCAGTACTTATGGTTATCAGCTTTCAATCTTTAGGGGGAATGAAAAAGGAATCCTAAGGAGACTGTGAGCAGACCCAACTAGGATCCAAAGTTCAGGGATTCAACCTGTAGCAACAGCCAAAAATAATTTAACTTTTCAGTTTATTTTTTCAACACTTACTGACTGCCTACTATTTGCAGGCTTTGGGAAAAAGAGATGAAGAACACAGGCACTTTTGCTGTCCTGGCACTTATAACCTAGCAGGGGAGAGCAACAATAAGTAAACAAAGTAACTTCACCAATTGCCCATATGTGCAACAGAGAAAATAAATGAGGATAATAGGCTAATGACTGAGGAAGCACGGTGGAATATTAGAGGTCACACTTTGAATTGGGCTTTATTACAGATTGGCAGCATGAGCTACTATGAAGACAGGAGGCAGATCTCATAAGGCCCAGAGATCTGGGTTCCAGTTCCAGACTCATAACTGTCTAGCTGTAAAGACCTTTCCTTCATTTAAACAAAAAATGCTTAGAATCAAGGAGTACTTAATTTAGCTTAAGTAGGCAGGTGTGGCAATTGACTTGGACTCCCTGGGCCTCAGTTAATCAACCACAAAATAGGGCTGACTGAGTGGCTCATTGGTTAAGAGTTGGCTTGGGAGCGCGAGCTCTGAGCAGCAGGGCCCCGGTTTGGATCCCACATGAGGGCCAGTGATGCTGCGCCCTCTACAGCTAAGATGGTGAACAACAGCTTGACCTGCAG